GGTGGTGGGGAGGCATGCGGACACTGCCACTGGGGCCTTCGGTGGAGCTCCCTATGGGGCCACGAACCGTGTGAGGGGTGTGCCGAAATGGGTGGTGGGGAGGCATGCGAACCCTGCCACTGGGGCTTCGGTGGAGCTCCCTATGGGGCCACGAATCGTGTGAGGGAGGGGAGAGGTGCGCCAAAAAATGCGCGGACCCCATGCGGACCCTGCCACTGGGGCCTTCGGTGGAGCTCCCTATGGGGCCACGAACCGTGTGAGGGGTGCGCCAAAATGCGGGGCCGCCATGCGGACCTTGCCACTGGGGCCTTCGGTGGAGCTCCCTATGGGGCCACGAACCGTGTGAGGGGTACGCCCCAATGCGGGGCCGCCATGCGGACCCTGCCACTGGGGCCTTCGGTGGAACTCCCTATGGGGCCACGAACCGTGTGAGGGGCGGGCCAAAATGCGGGGCCGCCATGCGGACCCTGCCACTGGGGCCTTCGGTGGAGCTCCCTATGGGGCCACGAACCGTGTGAGGGGTACGCCCCAATGCGGGGCCGCCATGCGGACCCTGCTACTGGGACCGTCGGTGGAGCTCCCTATGGGGCCACGAACCGTGTGAGGGGTGCGCCAAAATGCGGGGCCGCCATGCGGACCCTGCCACTGGGGCCTTCGGTGGAGCTCCCTATGGGGCCACGAACCGTGTGAGGGGTGCGCCAAAATGCGGGGCCGCCATGCGGACCCTGCCACTGGGGCCTTCGGTGGAGCTCCCTATGGGGCCACGGAACGCGTGAGGGATGTGCCGAAACAGAGACATGCGGAGGGCAGAGGCAAGGGGGAGGGAGGAGGGGGAGGGGGCAGCGGGAGGAAGGAAGGAGGAACGCGGGGCACCGTCTCTTCAAAACGAGGACCCAACACCACAGGATGGTTGGGAAAAACATGTTTGCTGACAGAAACGGTGTGGGGAGGGAGAGCAGCGCCGACCCAGAGGTTCTGCTTGTTCTGTTTGAAGGGACCCCAGGACACACAAATAAATACACACAAATAAAAATATTCCCCATATTTTCCATATTTTCTGAGTTTTCGTCTTCCCCCCACTTCCCATATTTCCCCATATTTTCTGGGGAGTCGACGATTGATTGTGTCTGTGTGTGTTTTTCCCCTCCTGACTGTTGTTGTCTCCAGTGGGTTGGGGTGCTGATCCAACGACGCGGGACAGCCAGGGCGTTGACTCTGGAGGTCGCCCACATTCGGCGGTGGACAAACCTCCCTTCAGTAAACCTCCCCTTAGCGAAAACGGCCTGGGGCCGAAACCGACGGACCTGGACCCGCAAAAATGACGGCCGCGACGTCCTCTCGCGACCCGAAAACGGCCAATTCCTTAATCGACGTGTCAGGGTAGGAGGTCTATCCACCTCCGACACATGGTGCCAGAGCACACGGGGCCGGAGGATCGCACTGCGTCGCCGAGGCGGCGGTGCACCGGCGGCGGCCGGACGGGAAACGTCGAGCCCCAGATCGCGCCGCAGAGCCGAAAGCATCGGCGATGGGGCACGGCCCTCCAACCCTTTGCACTCCTCCCCTCCTTCGGCGCAGCGCGGACGGACTCTCTCACATCAGGGCGAATGCCGCCAAGCGCGCAGAGGTGACAGCGCGGCCGAGCTTTCGCCGAAATATGCACTGGGAAGCAGGCAATCCTCCAGTTCCTCCTCCTCCTCCTCCTCCTCCTCCTCCTCCTCCTCCTCCTCCTCCTCCTCCTCCTCCTCCTCCCATCTACGGCAGTCTCGTGTCGTGACGACGTGCGCGCTGATTCCTGACACCGCGTGGACCGCTCGACAGCGGAACTGCCCCCCGAGGGGCCGATTCCGGGAGCAACCGCTGCAGAGGCGGCGGTGCTCGGCTCCGCGCTCTCGCTGCCAACGCCTGGAAAGGCAGGCGCGGGTTGAAACTTCTTGGCGCTGCCCAACAAACCGTCCACGAGGTCCTCTGTTCTCGATTTCTTCTGCACATGGCGCCGACCGTTCGATGTCGGCCGACCCTGGGCTGCCGGCTGGAGCAACAAAACGCTGATGCAGTTTCTTGCTCCTTCACGGGCGGCGCTCCAACTTGAGCGCCCGCGCTGCGCCGCCGTCGCGTCGACGCGGCGCGGACCTACCGGACTCTGGCCCCACTCGAGCGGCCTGGAGCCCCACGGTCAGGTCGGGCATGTCCCCCACCAGGCGGAACCGACAATAGCCGAAGTAGTCCAAACTAGTCGAGAGAGCACGAAAACTCGTCGCCAGACTATTTTTGTTCAAGATATGTTCTTGAATACTCCTCCTGGAGAGGGGCACGCCCGACTTGACCTTAGGTCGGGCATGTCTCCCTTACAGGCGAAGCTTGGAGGGAAACCGAAAACTTGTCAACAAACGCTCAAACAGGGTCACAATCAGTCGACAAACTCGTCCCAAAAGCATGTTTTCACTATCTCGAATACTCCTCCTGCAGAGAGACATGCCCGGCTTAAACTTGACCCTGCGGCGCCCCCGCCCAGTGGCCCCGCCCCGCGCGGGCGGGGGAGGCGAACCATGTCAGCAGGCAGGGCGCGCTCACCAGGTAGACCCCGCCGGTCAGGTAGAACTCCAGCCCGCCGGGGCGCAGAGGCTCCTCCTCCCTCCTCCTCCTCCTCCTCCTCCTCCTCCTCCTCCTCCTCCTCCTCCTCCTCCTCCTCCTCCTCCTCCTCCTACTCCTCGGTGGCGAATGCCGTCGTCGTCGGCGGCGGTCGTCGTCGACGCTGCCACCGCCGCCGCTGAGGGTGGCACTGGGGTCAGGGATACGGTGGGACCTGGGCCAGAAGAGCGGTCCCTCGAGAGCATGGGGCCCTCCGCTGGTCAGGACACAAACAGAACATCCCAGGGTGTCCCCTCTCCTGGGATGCACAAGAGCATCCGACAGAACACGGAGAGCATCAGGGCACCCTCCCCGAACCGACCTCGATCTTATACCCCGGTCCGACTGCATGGGGCGTTGCTATTCACCCCTACGGTCGCGTGCGATATGGGGGATTGAGCATGGCAGAGCGTCGCCACCGCCTGGGTCAGCCCGCGCATCACCGTCGCGATGGCTGGGGGGCAGCGGCGGTAAGGTTTTGAGACGCAGACGGTCGCCGCCGCCGTGGTTCACCCGCGCATCGGCACTGCGGCCATGGATCTTCAGCGGTCTCGTGGAAGGTGCTACGACAGCGTTGTCTCCACCATCGTCGTCAGGGTACCTATCACCGCCATCGCCGGTGTAGACGAGTCGGCGTCTCGGTCGTGGCCGCCTTCATCAGATCCTGATCACCATCCTGCCCTATCTTCACCCACACCATCCTCACCATAACCACAATATGAATGCTCTTATTATTGTTGTTGCTACTATTATTATTATTCTTATTATTATCATCATTATTACTATTATTAGTATTATTACTATTATAATTATTATTATAGCATTATTATTATATTATTATTATTAGTATTATTATTATTTTTTATTATTATTATGTATTATTATTCTTATTAATAATAATAATAGCATTAATATTATTATTATTATTACTTATTCTTATTCACCTCCTGCTCACACGGAGCATCACAATTACCATGCGATCGTCAGCACCGCCGTTGTTGCCGCCACGCCCAAAAACTTCCGACGCCGTGATTTCTCACGTCGACCCTAGCGTGCCAGAATCTATCCCCGGGGCAAGCTTTTCGCCGCGAGTCGCCTGTGGCAGGTCCCAGAACACGAAAAATACAGAGAGAACAAAAAAAAAACAGTGAATATATGAGCTACCAATTGATGGAACGACGGCGAAAACTTGCTCTGGGCGCCGGCATTGCGCAAAAAGGCCCGTCTTGATTCTGACCGTGGCGCCTGGAGGAAGGATCGATCCGTCACCCTTCGCCACGCCACCGGGCTCACCGCCATGGCACCTCTCGCGTCTGCGCCCTCGCCCCACGTTGGAGACGGCCGGGGGGGCTGAACTGGAAGGGGGCCCAGAAAATCCATCAAGAGGGGGGGCGAAGCCAAATCCGCCCAGAATCGGTCCCTGGACCCCATCCCCAGGTCCATCTGGTGCAGTTTTCCACCCGGGATCGGCGTTTGAAGGCTCCGGGGCCCGAAAACTGCCCCAGGAGGTCGAAGGATACAAAAGAATCTGCTCGAACCCAAGGCCTCGAGCTCTTCCTGGCGTCCTGCTCGCGGAACCAGCGCTGGGCCACCCCAGCCGGCTCCAAGCACCACGGCCCCCCCTCTTCCCGCCACCGCGGCCCCGCTCCCGCCGAGGGACATCCCTCTGCCTGCCCTGGGGGCGGAGCAGGGCCGTCCACGGCGGCGCCAGAGCCGAAACCGACCCGAACCGACAGGGGACCCTCCTCCTCTTCTTCCTCCTCCTCCTCCTCCTCCTCCTCCTCCCTCCTCCTCCTCCTCTCTCCTCCTCTCCTCTCCCTCCTCCTCCTCCTCCTCTTCCCTCCTCCTCCTCCTCCTCTCCCTCTCCTGCTCCCTCTCCTCCTCTTCCTCCCCTCCTCCTCCTCCTCATCCTCCTCCTCTCCTCCTCCTCCTCCCCTCCCTCCTCCCATCCTCCTCCTCCTCCTCCTCCTCCTCCTCCTCCTCCTCCTCCGCCTCAGAGGGGAGGGGGAAGCTAGGTGCGCTCGCGCGCCATGCTCTTCCCACCCATCCCTGCCCGTGGCGCTGATGATTTTCTCCCCATATCCGCCGGCGCATGCCACAGCGGAAAGGGGGTCCAGAAAGGACACCATCGTGTCATGCGCAATCGGGAAAGAAGAACGGCATACATTGGAAGAGGAGGTGGCAGATAAGCAGGAGGATGCGCAGGAGGAAGAAAGGGAAAATGAGTAAGGAGGAGGACGAGGCGCCGCCAAAAGTGAGGGCACTCCACGATTCGAGCCCAGATTGTAGGGAAGTGGCGTGCTTGTTTCATGCGCGTTTGTCTGAGCTGCCGCGGAAAAGAAAGCGGCAAGAGGAAGTCCCCCTCGTCCACTTCCAGGGGAAGAGAATGTCACTCTTGTCGTCGTCGTCGTTGCCGCATTTGTCGTCTACGCGGACTCGCTTGCACACCCAGATACTCATAGACAAAATTCGCCAGCGATACGTGACAGGAGTATGAATTGCACATATAGTGATATCCGCGTCGAGTAATTACTTAAACGCCTCCGGACCTATTTTTTTTCTTCCTTGTCCTCCTTCTCCTCGCTTTCACTTTCATATCACCCAAATACTCACACCCGTCACGGGGTCCCTCACACCCTTCACGGGGTCTCAAATCACTCAAACCCATCACGGGGCCCATCAAATATTCACCATTCCTCACGCAGATTCAGCCACACCACATCCTCATTCAGACTCACTCAGATGCAGACCCACTCAAACCCACTCAAACCCACTACAAAAATGTGCCTCTGACGCACTCCCACTCATACACACACTGTCTCCCACTCCGACAAACTTAAAGTCACTCAGATTTTTCTGGTGGTTCATTGCTCACCGAAATAAAGCAAGCGTTGCACGTAGGCACACCACGGAGGAGAAGCCAGGGGAGACTCGGCCTCGCTCATCAGCACCTCCATCGCACTCAGACTCACTCATGACGCCCAGCCTCACTCATACTCACAATTAACCATACTCAGACTCACTCATACCTATGGCTCATATTCAGACTCACTCAAACTCAATCCAATTAACCCCCAGACCAACTCACACTCAGACACAATCCCATTCAGACTCACCGAATTACACTCAGGCTCACTCATACTCAGACTTCCTCGCACCAAAGCTCGTCGCTCAGATTCAAAAAGGGATACTTATCACACTCAAACTCATACCCACACACTCAGACGAATTCACACTTATACCCGCTCGCACATAGAGTCGTTCGCATTCGGACTCACTCATATTCAAAGAAACACACAAGATCCGCTCTCATTCCGACTCGCTCACACTCAGATCACCCAGACTCAGATTCACTTGTGTCAAGGCTCGCACACAAGCGAATACCGCGATTTAGCCAGCGTGTCAGATGGAGACCCCAGCTGCCAGCAGGCGGCGCGAGAAGCACGCCAGAGAGCGGGCGTTGCAACGCCATGTGCACTTGCCAGAGTCGCCGCGGGGAGCACAGCAAGAGGAAGTCCCCCTCAATCTTCCACTTGTTTTCCCTTCACATCTCCTGCAAGATGTCCAGAGGAGGAGGACGTCACTGAAGTCAGCGCTGTCATCGTCGTCGTTGCCACGCCTGTCGTCTGCGCGGGCTCGTTCTCACACCCAGACGCTCATAGACAGAGCTCGTCGGCGAGATCTGACATAAACATGAAACGCATGACCGCGTCGAACATCTATTCCCTCAGTAACATGCGCTACGAGCTGGGGGTTCGGGCCCCCGTGAGGGGGGGGTAACGGTGACGTGGTCGGGCACCGCGAAGGGGGGCCTCAGGCGCCGGACGACCACGACGACGACGACGACGACGACAAGTGCGAGGACGAGGACGAGGACGAGGACGACGACGACGACGACAACGACGACGACGACGACGACAACGGCGACGACGACGACGACGACGACGACGACAACGACGACGACGACGACGACAACGGCGACCGCCTCTGAAGGCCTCTGGAGGCCTCAGGAGGTCTCTGGAAGCCTCTTGAGGCATATGGAGAACATCCTATGCCCTCGACGATGACGACGACGACGACGACGACGACGACGATCGCCTCTGAAGGTCTCCAGGAGTCTCTGGAGGCCTCAGGGCTCCAGAGGCCTCCGGAGGCGTCTGGAGGCCCTTCGAGGCCCTCGGAGACGACGACGACGACGACGACGACGACGACGACGACGACGAAGGCCGCCTCTAGAGGCGTCTGGGGGCCGTCCTTTGCCTGTCAGCACCACCATGCCTGTGAATTTGGCGCTATACCTGTGGGGGGGCCGGCCCTTCCCCCGTACGTTCGTTACTGTTAGGGGGGAGGGGGGGCGACCCCCCGTACTGGACGTTACGGGTTGAACGATAAAAAAATGACAGAACAAAACGCGGAGGGGGTCGTTCTACTCCCCGGCCATCTCCAGGGAAGAGGGTAGAGCAATGTTCATGTTTAGCACGTGTACGGAGAGGGGAGGCGAGGACGGGTGAGGGAGGAGAGAGGCAAAGGCGGGAGCAGGGCTTACCCACCTGGCCACGCGCGCTGCGAAGAGGGTGCACATCCGCGGACCCCCCTCGAGCACCGTGCCCGGCGAGCCTTCCGCGCCGCGCCCAGCAGTGCCAGGCAAGAGGAAGCACTCGACGGCAGGAGGAGAGCACGGGGGCCCAGCGGGACTGGTGCAGGAGCGGCGGGGAGCAACCGAGGGTAGAGGAGGAGGAGGAGGAGGAGGAGGAAGAGGAGGAGGAGGAGGAGGAGGAAGAGGAGGAGGAGGAGGAGGAGGAATCAGCCTTGAGCGCATTCCTGCCCCTAAGGTTGACAAGCCCACCAAAGGCGCTGCCACTCTCGGGGAGGCGCCCTCCGAAACCGAGGGGGATCCCTGAGATCAGCATCGAGATAAAGGCGGGTGCCAGTCATGACGACAGGGATATGCTCCAGGCTGGCAAGACGGCCCCAGGCCAAAATCATGGCGGAAATGTGTCACCCATTTGCACCCTCCAGGGGCCCCCACCGGGCCCCAGGACTGTCAAAACACGACTCGGGGTGAAAAGCTGGCCCTTGGGGAACGGGTCAGGATCCAGGGACCCCGCAACAGACAGAACCAGGCACTGGATCCCTGCGGTCGAGCGCGCCCACCGCTGGAAGGTCCAGGAAGTCCACCGTGGAGAGCACGAACAGAAACCCCAGCTGGAACAGGACCCTGCGGCTCCAGCCCCGCTCGCCGCGAGAGACCACCCTCGACGTCCCAAACTCCCGTCGCTGTATCCCTCGCACTGCCTCCCTCTCACTCCCTCGCGCTCTATCTCTCTCTCTCTCTCTCTCTTTCTGTCTCTGTCTCTCTCTCTCTCTCTTACTTTCTCTCTCTCTCTCTTTCTCCGCCTGCCTGTCTGTGATTGCGCGTGTGCCTCTCTTTCTTTCTCTGGGGGCCACTCCACACGCGGCCTCTCCTCGGCGGGTGATCGGCGAGGTCAGGCTCGGAGAAAAGCAGCAGGAGGCTGACCAGCGCTGAACAAGAGTGAAGAGCTGGCTCCATCCGGTTGTTCCGACTTCCGTTTTAGGGCTCCCAGGCCTCGAAAGGGTAGCATTCCACGCACAACGCTGTATCTGCAGACTGAAGCTGTGCTGAGGCCTGCCAGGTGTGCTGAAATCGCCTCTGACTGCTGTCGGGGTTCGTGCGGGAGCGCACGGGAAGGGGAAGGCGGAAGAGGAGGAGAAACACTCTGCCCCTCCGCCCCTCATCGGCAGGTAGGTGAGTGTCAGGTGCGTCTGCGCCATCCTGCCCCGCCTGGCGGCGGCGTTTTCCCAGCGGCCTCCTCATCGGCGTCCCCGCGATCGTCGCGGTCGTCGTCGCCGCCGCCGCTCCCGTCATCGCTAGTCGGCCTCGTCGGCATGATGCTGCCCCTGCGGCTTGTCTTCATCCTCGCAAGCACTCTTCCATCATCCTCACCACCACCACCTCTACCAGCTTCCATCACCATCACCATCAACATCAGAATCACCATCATCACCATCATCACCATCATCAGCATCATCAGCATCAGCGTCAGCATCAGCATCAGCATCAGCAGCATCATCATAATCCGCATCATCATCCTCATCATGATCATCATTAGCAGCATCATCATCATCCTCATCATCATCCTCATCATCAGCATCATCATCATAATCAGCATCATCATCATCATCAGCATGAACAGCATCATCATCATTCTCGTCAGCAGCATCATCATCGACATCGTCATCATAGTTTCAATCACCAGCATCAGCATCAGCACAATTAACATCAACAGCATCAGCAACATCATCATCTACAGCATGTTCAGCATATTCAGCATCATCATCACCATCATCAGCATTGGTATCATCATGATCATCAGCAGCAGCATCATCACCATAATCATCATCATCAACATCACCATCCTCATCATCATCATCATCAGCATCATCATCAACATCACCATCATCATTGTCATCGTCATCGCCATAGTCATCATCAGCGTCAGCATCAGCATCAACACCATCCTCATCATCCTCATCATCATCAAATTCATCGTCATCATCTCATCATCCTCATCATCATCGTCATCATCAGCATCAGCATCATCAACATCATCAGCATCATCATCCTCATACTCATCCTCATCCTCATCATCATCATAAGCATCCGCATCCGCATCATCAGCATCATCATCATCACAATCACCATCACCACAACCATTATCATTGGCATCGCCTTCCTAACCGACAGCATCATCATCATCATCATCAATATCATATTCCTCATCGTCAGCATTATTATCACCAATGTCTGCAACATCACCGTCAACGTCATCTGACGCGTAAGCATATCATAAGCAGAATCGTCGTCGTTGTTGCCCCCATCGTTCTCCTCTTCCTCATCAGCATCATCATCATCATCATCATCACCATCATCATCAGCAGCAGCAGCATCGTCTCCATGTTCCTCCTCCGCATCCTCCGCCTCATCATCCTCATCATCATCATTATCATCATCCTCATCCTCGTCATATCATCATCATCATCATCATCATCATCATCATCATCATCATCATCACCATCACCATCACCATCACCATCACCATCATCATCATCATCATCATCATCATCACCATCACCATCAGTATCATCATCATCATCGTCATATCGATAATCGGCCTAATCATGATGAGCATCTTCATCATAGCCCAAACTGCTACCCATCGTGAATTCCTGTTTTAACAATCATGCGGAGAGTGCCAATTTTGAGTTGCCCTCCCGCTTCGGGCAATTGTGCCCCTCGACCCGAGATGGCTCACAAGGGGGCCATCTGCGCACGGGGCGGGTCTGAAAATCTTTGTCAGACCCGAATGCCGATACGCCGACGGAGGGCCCTGCGAACGTGGCCCACATTTGAGGCAGGGGCCCTGGGCGGGGCCCCAGCCCTCGATAACCTTCCACGGCCAACGCGGGCACCCCACGGGCAACCCGCACCAGGACGAGGGCTGGCTGCTCGTGACAGGTACTGCCCGGCGTTGGGCTCGGTCCCTCAGTACAGGGGCAGGATGGCTTGAGAAACAATTCGCTCAACATGGTCCCCACAGCCCCCTCCGATGTGCTGACCACCCTTCGCATGGTCCCCGACACATGGTCGGCGCTCGTGCCGAGTATGGGCTGGCATCCCCCGAACTCGTGACCTCCAGCGACGTCCTCGAGAGTCCGCCGGCACCCCGGGAGGAAAGGAAGGGACGGTGTGCTTCTTACCCCTCGCCCGGGTCCCAGCCGCGTGGCCGACACCACGGGTGGATGCAGTCGCAAAGAGGGCTCACGCACAGGCAACAATACGCATGCACCAATGTCTGCCATACCTGACATGCGCAAAAAAACACCTTCATCATCGTCATCAAAAGCAGCAGCATCATCATCATCAACAGCAGCAGCGGCAGCCTCAGCATCACCACCACCACCACCACCACCACCATCATCATCATCATCAGCAGCAGCAGCAGCATGAGCATCAGCATCATCATCATCTGCATCATTATCATCATCATCATCATCATCATCATCATCATCATCATCATCATCATCATCATCATCATCATCATCATCATCATCATCATCATCATCATCTACAGCAGCAGCAGCGGCAGCCTCAGCATCACCACCACCACCACCACCATCATCACCATCATCATCATCATCATCAGCAGCAGCAGCATGAGCATCAGCATCATCATCAGCATCATCATCATCATCATCAGCAGCATCATCGTCATAAGTGCCATTGCCATCAACACCGTCACCAGCAGCATCAGCATCAGCATCAGCATCAGCATCAGCATCATCATCATCGTCATCATCGTCATCGTCATCATCATCGTCATCATCATCAGCATCATCATCGCCATCATCAGCATCATCATCATCAGCATCAGCATCATCATCATCATCATCATCATCATCATCATCATCATCATCATCATCATCATCGTCATCATCATCATCGTCATCGTCATCGTCATCGTCGTCATCGTCATCGTCATCGTCATCATATTCCATGGACGACCGCAGCCCCTGGCTGGAGGCAAAGCCAGATTGCCACAAAGGGCGAGCCAGAATGGCCAAATGGAAGGCCCGTACTTCGGGCCAATCTCGAACGACAGTAAACGCAGTTGGGGGCAAAACCCGATTGCAGTTAAAAGCCTATCAAACCTCTGGACCATACGTACGGGGCAAACCACGGTGCAACAAAGGGCGCGCCCCTCTTCAGGCCGAGAATGAGGGGGCGCAAAAGGGTGCAGCGGAGGCCTAACAGCTCTGGGTCACATCGGCAGGGCCTTCTGTAGCTGGGCGCGTCATCGCGGTGCGAACATGCAGTAAGCATCGACGCATCGGCATTCGACGCATCACCTTCCCCTCCGCTTCGAGCGCGGCTGTGCGCGGGCTAAGCGCGGCGGTGGCACTCGGTCTTGAGGGTCACCATCGCGTTGGAGAGGAGAATCGGTATCTGGCGGGCGCGCCCCGCTTGGATATGCTGCCAAGGGGCACCAGTAAGTAAGCAGGGGTAAAGGAAGAGAAGGAGAATGGGAGGAGAAGGAAGGGAGGAGAAAGGGATGGGGGAGGAGGAGGAAAAGGGGGGCACGGAGGCCTCCCAAATGGGGCCGGAGTTGATTTGGACGGAGGATCGCACAACATCGCCGATGCACAGGCGACGTCGGGACGAAGAAAACTGGACTCTGGATCGGCGATGCATCGGCGATGCGGCGCCTGCCTCCGACCCCGCCTGCTCCGGCCCCGAAGGCCTGGGGAGGCGGAGCAGCGGGAGCAGGAAGTGAAGGGGCCCCAGGATACACAAATAAATACACACAAATAAAAGGATTCCCCACATTTTCCCATACTTTCCGGGCTTTGGTCTTCCCCCCCACCTCCCATGTTTTCCCATATCTTTCTGGGGGTCGACGATCAATTGTGTCTGTGTGTGTTTTTCCCTCCTGAGGAAGGGCCCTCGGGCGACCCCGCCGAGCGGCGCAGAGCCAGCCGGAGGAGCGCGCGGAGCAGGAGGGGGCGCCGAGTCGTGCGCCCAGTGGGGCCGAGCCCGGCCGAGCTCACCCCCGGCCCAGGAGGGGCGCGCACGCCGTGCTGCCCCGGGCAGGAGGGCACGTGTGCACCGACTCGGACGCCCGAGATGGGTACGGAAAGAATGGGTCCTCCTCCTCCTCCTCCTCCTCCTCCTCCTCCTCCTCCTCCTCCTCCTCCTCCTCCTCCTCCTCCTCCTCCTCCTCCTCCTCCTACCATGCCCGACAACAAGTGTTGTCCCAAACCCACAGCGGCCGCTGTTGGGCAGGCGGCCTTCTGTCTCGAATGGACACATTGGGAGCGGCGAAGAGGGGGGTGTCCAGGGGGGGGGGTGCAAATCATGACCGGCGGCATGTGCGCGGCCCAGCGGGGGGTCCAGGGACGTAATGAAATAAGAAGAGGCGCCATGAAATCTGAGGAAATATCATGGCCCCCACCATGATATCCACCCCCCCCTAGTCATCACCCCCCATCTTTTCCGCCCCCGAACTCAGGCCGCGGTGGCGTGGACAGCGAGTCCGGTTCAAAACGAACAGGGTCCGCTGTTGGGCACTGTGCCCGTTCTTCCCGTGCCCATCTCGTTCGTGCAGCACCGATCCTGGGCCGGGGATCGGCCCGGCCAGGCTCGGCCTGGCCAGGCTCGGTGCAGGACGTGCAGTCGGCGCAAGGTCGGGCATGGCCTCCCGCAGACGGATTTTGGACGAAAGACTGATAGATAGCCCCCCAAAAAAACAATATCCCAAAACAGCCCAACAATCAATGCTCGCAAAATCGTCCCCTGAGTATTGTTAGACTATGTCTGGATCCTCCTCCTGTAGAGGGACTCGCCCGACTGAAAGTCGGCGGTGGACAACAAACCTCCCTTAGTAGTAAACCTCCCTTTAGTGGAAAACGGCCTGGAGCCGAAACCGACGGACCTGGACCCGCAAAAGTGACGGCCGCGACGCCCCTCTCGAGAAGCGAAAACGGCCAATTCGCTAATCGACGTGTCAGGGTTAGGAGGTCGATCGACCTCCGACAGCCAGAGGGGCCCCAGGAGGATCGGCTGACCCCCGCTGGCGCGGAGCCCTGCTCCTGCGCCCCCAGAGCGCCAGGCCTCAGGGCGCGCCCGCCGCGGAAGCCCGAAGGTCGAGGAGAGGCAGAGGCCTGGATCCGACGATGAAGAAAGACGACGACGACGACGACGACGACGACGACGACGACGACGACGACGACGGAGGTCTGTCCACCTCCGAGAAAGCCGGCGCCCCCAGACGGAGGCCCCGAGCGGCGGCTCGCGCGGGCCGCCCGCGAGGCCACGCGGGGCCTCGCGCGGGGCCTGCCCGCGTGCGCGCGGAGGTCGGGGCAGCGCGCCCGCCCTCTCGCGAGCAGGGGGTCGGCTACAGAACTGACTTACAGTCGGGGCGTTGACCTGAGGAACCCTAAACAAGGAACGAGGCTCCTTTTTTCCACAAGTTAACCTTCGATCTCCTGTCGAAAGTATAAGGAAAGCCTGAGGCAAGCTGTGAAACACTTAAGGAACACGGAGCCCCTCCCCGACGAAAAGGGTTCCTTCTTCGGGGCCCCGATTGTACAGTCACAAACCCTAAGAAGGACGCGCGGCGAGGACGCAAGACCCTTGGAAGCCGGAGTTGGGATTTCTGGGGCGGCGGGCGACGAAAGCCCCAAGGACGCAGGAGCAAGGAAGAGCAAGGACGCAAGGGTACCCTGAGCAAAGTCGCGCGTCCTTATTAGGGTTTCTGACTGTACAGAATTGACTTACCCCGAGAGCGATTTTTCGTCGCATCTGGAGAAGGAAAAGCAACACGTCCGCGGACTGCTACGTGTTCCCCCCTCGGCGATTCGACGAAAAACAATTCTGGAGTAAACAAGTTCTGCATTAGATCTCCTGCTCAATTCTTGAGTCACCTGGCCGGAGCCAGGCGGGGAAGGGGCGGGGACACTGGAGAGGAGATCCAGGAACCTCTGGAGTCGCCAAAGGATAGCGACTGCCAGTCTGTCTATTCGAATAGGAAATCCCAAAAAAAGACCCACCCCAAAAGTGATTTAACCAAGAATTGATGCTTTCGTCGAGTCGCCGAAGGAATACGTGGCAGTCCGCGAACGTGTTGCTTCTTCCTCTCTAGATGCAACGAAAAATCAATTTCGGCGTAAATCGATTATGTAGTTGATCCCCTACTCGATCTATGCTTTCAATCCCCGGCCGTCTCGCAGCCCCAGTCCCGTCAAAGCTGCACCGTAGAAGGGGCTGACATTCCTGGGGGCCCACGTCACGAAAAAAATGTGCAACGTCGGAGACGAGAAGAGGGCCCCGGAGAGTGGGAGAAGGCTTAAGACTGAGATGGAGTTAGGAGGCAACTCCCAGCAGCTCCTCGCAGGAGAGACGCGGGGAGTGCCACGGACTGATGGGCGAGGGAGCCGATTTGGGTTGCATGAAGCCCCAGAGCAAACCGGAGCAAGCAAGCTTGAGCAGGATGCAGCCTGAGGAGGAGGAGGAGGAGAAGGAGCAGGAGGCAGCCTGATCAAACCAGACTGCAACGGTCTTTTGGCCACGGATGAACCAGCGCCGATGCCGTATTTGACTTCCAAGGGGCCACCAAGACGGGGAGAGGGGAAAGGAATGGAATTGCCCCCAGGCAGGCTGGAGCGCACCACTATGCCCAAGCACGTGACCACCCTTGGGCCCACACTGCTTCCGATGCCCTTGTGCCGCTGCTGTCGTACCCTTCTGGTTTTGCCCTTGTTTTCCAGACGCTGCGCACCATGGTGTGCAATGCCGAGCCGACGTTGAAAGTGAAACGAGGAGGAGGAGGAGGAGGAAAATGAGGAGGAGGAGGAGGAGGAGGGGTAGGAGGAGGAGGGGAGGAGGAGGAGGAGGAGGAGGAGGGAAAGGAGGCAAAGGAGGAAATGGGAGAAGGAGAAGGAGGAGGAGGAGGAGGAGGATGAGGAGGAGGAGGAGGAGGAGGAAGGAGTGGAGAGGGAGGAGGAGCCTGGGCTCCTGCGCTTGCCCCCCCCCTCTCCAGGGCTGGAGGAAGAGGGGACAGGCGAAGACTCCTCGGGCCAGCATCGAGCCGCGGCGGTGCCCCGGCCCGAACCTCCCCCCCCCCGACGTGCAGCGGCCACCACATCCTCCGCCTGCGGCCGCAGACCTCCCGACCCACCTCCCCGGGGGGCAGCTCCTCGCTGCCTCTGTCCTCCATCCTCCTCCTCCTCCTCCTCCTCCTCCCTCCTCCTCCTCTCTCCCTCCTCCTCCTCCTCCTCCTCCTCTTCCTCCTACTCCAACCCTCCCTTCCCTCCCCCATCCTTGTCCTCCACATCCTCGCTCCCCGTCCTCCTCCTTCTCCAGTTCCTCCTCCGAGAGCAATCCAAGAGGCCCCCCGGGCACGAGACACTCCCCGGGCTGGCCCTGGACCCCGACAAGAGGACCCTCAGGGCCCAAGTCGAGGAAAAAAAAAAACATAAAAAAGACGGGCGGAAGACATCGATATCATCGTCGGCGATGCGGGCCCCTCCTCCGGATGCCCTGGGAGGCCCCTGGGGGCAACCCGCGTGGCTGCAGAGGCCCCTGCAGGGTACCACTGGCCGAGGGGCTCCGGAAGCCCCTGAAGCCCCCGGCCTGTAGAGTCGTCCCCCTGGGGGACTCTGGGCGGAGACACAGAGAAACACAAACGCTAAAAAGCCAGCGGCTGCGACGACGGCGGCGGCGGCAGCGGGGCAGGCGACGACGACGACGACGACGACGACGACGACGACGACGACGACGACGACGACGACGATGACGACGACGACGACGACGGCGGCGGCGGCGACGACGACGAGGGGGAGGAGGAGGAGGAGGAGGAGGAGGAGGAGGAGGAGGAGGAGGAGGAGCAGGAGGGGAGTAACAGACGGACGAGGAGGAGGAGGGGAGGAGGAGGAGTAGGAGCAGGAGGAGGAGGAGGAGGCGGAGGAGGAGGCGGAGGAGGGGGGAGGGGGAGGAGAGGAGGAGGAGGAGGAGGAGGAGGGGAGGAGGAGGAGGAGGAGGGAGGAGGAGAGAGAGGAGGAGGAGGAGGAAAGGAGACGAGGAGATCGACGACGACGACGACGACGACGACGGACGACGACGACGAAGACGACGACGACGACGACGACGACGACGACGACGACGACGACGACGACGACGACGACGACGACGGTGGTGACGGCACTGGCGGCGACGGCGACGGTGGCGGCGAGGCTCGCCGCGGCGCAACAGCCCAACACCACGAGCACCACGGGGTTCGTTACGAGCAGCTCCTGGGCCGCCACCCAACCGCCGCCCGCTCGTGGTCGTCTCTGGCGGCCGCGGCCGCCGCCGTCGTCGGCGAGTGGAGTGAGTGAGGGAGGGAGGGAGGCCGGGAGGGAGGTTGAGGGAAGGCAGGAACACGACGACAAGAAGACGACGACGACTTCGACGACGACGACAAGCAGGACGAGGACAAGGACGAGGCGGACGAGGACGAGGACGGGGGCGGAAGCACGAGGGTGCAGACGACGAAGACGAGGACAAGGGCGCAGACAACGACGACAAGGACGAAGCCAGGGCGACAAGGAGGGCGAGGAGGACAAGGGTGCAGACGACGAAGACGTCGACGACGACGCAAACGACGCAATTGACGACGCAAACGACAATGCAAACGACGACGACGACGACGACGACGACGACGACGACGACGACGACGACGACGACGACGACGGCCGCGGGCCGCTCCTTCAGCAGCGTCGGGAGGGGGTCCTCGATCGCCACGCCCACACTGTAAGGCGCCTCTCGGCGCGGCCGGAGCGCGACGTCGACGCCGACTCCGAACGGACGACGTCGACGCCGCACTCGACTGGGGCGACGTTGACGTCGACGTCGTCACATTTGGAGGCGCTGTGGGGGGCGCTTCTGGGCGCTGGCGGCCGCCTCGGCTGGACGCGGCCCGCGACCCCGGCCAGGGCGAACCCTGGGAGCCCAAGGGGGTCGGGTTCGGGGGGGGGGGGCCTCTCGGACGGGATCGGAGGCTGACCTCGTAGCCCGGCATCGTCAGGAAGAGCCCCGTGCCCACTCGAAGTGCGCAGGGCGCGCTGCCCGACCTACAGTGCGGGCGCGGTCGCAAGAAACCCTCGCAAGAAACCCAACCCTGGAAACCCGCGCGCGAGGTGCACCTGAGGGAAAAAAAAACCCGAGCATCCTGAGCGAATCAGCTTCTCTGACGGCCGCGGGAAGTCACCGCGCAGCGCGCGGAACGAAGAAATCCAAGGTACCCTGACGAAAATCAGATGGTTTCTTGATGCGCGCCCCCTCTGTCGAGCCCCGCAGGTGGGGACAGGGGCGCCCTCTCCGCCGGGCCCCGCGGCAGCCGGGCCCCGCCTCGAGGAGAGGGCGGCCGGCGGCGCGAACCCGGCCCTGCAGACTGAGAGCAGGAGGGCGCCAGGAGGAGGAGGAGAAGGAGGAGGAAGAAGAGGAAAAGGAGGGAGGAGGAGGAGAAGGAGGAGGAGGAGGAGGAAGAAGGAGGAGAAGAGGAGGAGGAGGAGGAGGGAGGAGGTGGAGGGGGAGGAGGGGGAGGAGGAGGAGGAGGGGGGAAGGGAGGAGGAGGAGGAGCAGGAGGAGGAGGAGGAGATCAGGAGGATCAGGAAGAGGAGGGGCGGGAGGGGGAGGGGGAGGAGGAGGAGGAGGAGGAGGAGGAGGAGGGAGGGAGGGAGGAGGAGGAAGAGGAGGAGGAGGAGGAGGAGGAGGGGAGGAGGAGGAGAGACGAGGAGGAGGAGGAGGAGGAGGAGGAGGAGGAGGTGGAGTTGGAGAAGGTGGAGGAAGCAGGAGGAGGAGGAGGAGGAGGAGGAGGAGGAGGACGAGGACGAGGACGAGGAGGAGGAGGAGGAGGAGGAGGAGGAAGGAAGAGCAGGGAAGAGGAGAGCAGGAGGAGGGGAGGAGGAAGGCGGGAGGAGGAGGAGGAGGAGGAGGAGGAGGAGGGAGGAGGAGGAGGAGGGGGAGGAGCAGGAGGAGGAGGAGGAGGAGGAGGAGGAGGAGGAGGAGGAGGAGAAGAGGATGCAGAGGAGAGAGGAGGAGGAGGAGGAGGAGGAGGAGGAGGAGGACGAGGAGGCGGAGGAGGAGGAGGAGGAGGAGGAGGAGGAGGAGGAAGCCCCCTGGCCTTCTCAGAAGGCCACCCGCGCCCTCTGCACGCGACGGCGAGGGCGGCGCCCCTGCAGCATCCGCAGTGGGAGGAGAAGGTCCTCACAGCGTGCGCGTGCCCGCGCCAGCGTGCGCTCGCCCGCCGAAGCCCGCTGGCCTGGGCCGACCCAGGCTGCGCGCTACCGGCGTAGCTGCACTGAGTGACACTTTTCTGCGTCGGCGGCTAGGGAGGGGACGCCTGCGCTGGCGATGGATCGGGCCTAAAATGGGATGCCGTTACAGCGATTTGTGCCACCATGCAAGAGCAGCAGCGGGGCGAGGGCGCGCCGAAAGAGGGGCGGACGGAGCGAGCGGCTCAGCGCTCCCCGAGCGGCGGCACGGGCAGCCCCGCCGGCGGGGAAGCCGCACCGAGTGACACGCACAAGTTCAAGAGAGCTGGCGACGTGCAAAAACCGCGCAGCGGCAGCCAAAGCACGATGCGACGACGACGACGACGACGACGACGACGACGACGACGACGGCGCCCTTCTGTTGCAGATGCCCCAGCACGTCACTCGCGGCTCGCCCGCCGAGCGGGCGAGCCCCACGCACAAATCGGCCTGTTCGCTGACTGGGCAGCGCCTGTGTCGCCACAGCGGCTGGCAGCCCCAGAAACCCTACAAGTTTTCCGCGGCCTAGAGGGCACTGGAAGGGGGAGGCCCCGAGAAGAAACTCGAGCCAAGATGAGCCGCAGAGAGCAGAGAAAAGGCAAGAGGCAGGAGAGAAGCACGTGCACCCCCCGCCCGCCCAAACCACTTGAAATCTCACTCTCCGCCACGCCCGAACCATCACGTCTGAAGAGAGCTGGGGACAAGCAGTGACCGCATAGGGGCATCTAAAGTACGATGCGACGATGACGACACCTTCTCGCGGCAGATGCCGCAGAACGCCACTCGCGGCTCGCCCACTGATCGGGCAAGCCTCGCGCACAGGTCGGCCCGCTCGCTGCTGGGACATGAGGGTGCGACAGCCGGCGGCTTCGTCTCAGCCTCCTCCAAGGAAGATGGCTTCGCGGGCGAGCACGGGGGCCCCATCGTGGTCGTGGTCGTCGGCGTCGACGGAAACGTCGACGGACGACGACGACGACGACGACGACGACGACGACATTAAACGACAACGACGACGACGAACGACAGCTGTCGACACCGCACGACGACGACATCAAACGACAACGACGACGACGAACGACGGCTGCCGACACCGTCGGCGACGACGACGAGAATGCCGGCGGCGAGCGACGATCGGCGATCGGCGAACGCCGACGCCGACGCCGACGCCGACGCCGACGACGGTGCCGACGACGACGACGACGACGAACGACGAACGACGGCAGCGCCGCCCGGAGCCTCGGCGGCGCGGCTTCGGCGCTGCTCCAGGACCAGGCTCTCGTCCGCCGCCTGCGCGCGCGCCCGCCCCCGCCCCCCGGGGGAGGGGCGGCGACAGCGAGCGCCGAGCGGCGTCGAGCGGCGAGCGACGAGCGACGTCGAAGGACGACGAGAACGACGTCACTCGACGAGAACGACGTCGCCCGACGACGACGACGACGACGACGACGACGACGACGACGACGACGACGACGACGACGACGACAATGATGACGACGACGACGACGACGACGACGACGACGACGACGACGACGACGGCGGCGGCGGCGGCGACGACGACGACGACGACGACGACGACGACGACGACGACGACGACGACGAGAACGACGACGTAGAACGACCACGACGACGTCGAACGGCGACGAGAAAGACGACGCACGACGACGGCGACGACGACGACGACGACAACGACGACGACGACGGACGAACGACAACGTTGAACGACAACGAGAATGGCCTCAAAATTCGCCGGCCCAACGGGCCAGAGGCGTGCTAAGATCTCCAGTAACAAATTAACCATATAACTAATTCGCGCGCGCGAGGCGGCCCCTGGGGGGCCCGACGCGACAAGTACCCCGCCAAAGTCCCGGCAAGTGCCCGCCAGAGATGCCGGAGGCCCCCCAGACGGCCCAAGAGGCGCCCCGGACGGCCTCAAGAGAGCCAAGAAACCTCAAACTGCCTCCCAAAGGGCCCCTGAGAGGCCAACCACGAGAGCCCAACCAACATCCGCGAGGCCTCTGACCCGCCAACCGCCGCCTCCATAAAATGGCAGCCGCCCAACCGCACCGCATTGACAACAACACCACGACAAACGACAGTGGCGAGGCAATATGGGCCGGCGGAATGAGCGAAGCGATTAAAGAAGACCTCGAACGACGACGAGAACGACGACGAGAACGACGACGTAGAACGACCACGACGACGTCGAACGGCGACGAGAAAGACGACGCACGACGACGACGACGACGACGACGACGACGGCGACGACGACGACGACGAATGGCGCACAATGAAGACGTTGAACGCCGACGTCGAACAGCGACGACCAAGAAAACGACGTCGACGGCGACGCCGACGACAAGGACCGTGGGAGGACGAAATGGTCGAGAATCGATGTTCCTAAATCGATGTGTTTGGGCGCCTCTGGTTTCCTGGGCTCCTAGAAGCCTCCCCGAGGACCTCCGATGATCCCAGGAGACCTTCCGGAATCCTCGGGGACTTCCGAAGACCCAGACCTCCAACGTCCGACGACGATAACGACGAAGACGAACGACGACGACGACGACGACGACGACGACGACGGCAAAAGATCAAGGCTCGAGAATTCAGGCTTTTAGGGTTTGGATAGAACCTCCGCGGACGCCCTGGTGGACCACGGCTAGATCCGACTTGAAATCCTTGCCAGAACGCACCCCAGCACAGGTCCAGGGGGGCGATTTGGGAGGATCCGCCCGCCCCGAAGAGGACTCTTGGTCGAGGATCCAGGCGAAGAACGGTATAACATAAACTTTTCCGTCGCAGGGGGCGCTGCCCCGGACGGCTGGAAAGTTCATACGTTGACGTGCCACCCTACGGGTACAAACTTTCCAGCCGCCCTGAGACAAGCGTCCCCGACAGCGAAACAATTTACTTTATACCGCTCTTCGCCCATTCAATAACGGGCGAAGAACGGTGTAAAATAAACTTTTTCGCTGTCGGGGGCGCCTGTCCCTGGGCGGCTGGAAAGTTTATACCCTTACGGTGGCACCGTAGGGGTATAAACTTTCCAGCCGCACAGGGGCAGGTGTCCCCGACGGCGGAAAGTTTATGTTATACCGTTCTTCGCCCATTCAGCCCTGGGGCACCTAACCTCGCGCGTCGCGCCCCTCGATGCGCCGTGCGCGGCTCTCTTCGTGCCCTCGCGCCGCCCGCGCCATCTGGGTCGCCACAACACCTTGGACCCTCTCGTCCTCCTCCTCCTCCTCCTTTTCCTCCTCCACCTGTACATCCTCCTCATCCTCCAACTCCACCTCCACCTCCTCCACCTCCACCTCCACCTCCACCTCCTCCTCCTTTTCTCATCATTATTCTTCTTATTCTCAAAATTATTCTCCGTATTCTTATTAGTATTATTACTTGTACTACTATTACAAGTAATAGTACCATTATTTTACTACTATTATTATTCGTGGCATGCTTCTTCATATTCTTAGTAATGATATTGTTACTACTATTTCATTAGTATGATTATTATTATGATTCCTCTTCTTCCTCCTCCTACTCCTCCTCCTCATCATCATCCTCCTCCTCCTCCTCCCCCCTCCTCCTCCTCCTCCGCCGCCGCCTCCTCATTCTCCTCTTCCTCCTCCTCCTCCTCCATTCCTCTCCCTTCTGAGTAACTCCTCCCTGTCGCACCCCGAGGCCAGTCGGAAGGGTGGGTCGGGCGTTTCGCCCGAGACTTCCTTACCACTTATGAGCCTCAAGCTGAGCAACAGCTTCACAGATGGAGGGCGGGTGGTGCTCGAAATGTGGCTCTCGCCTTAGCGCCGCGCACATTCGTTTTCAAACATTGCAAAAGTTTCACGGATTGAGGGCGGCTCGTTTTCAAAGTGTGGCTCTCGCCTTAGCGCCGCGTGCATACGTTTAAGAATAAATGAAGGAGTTCACGAATTGAAGGCTGCTACTTTTCAAAATGTGGCTCTCGCCTTAGCGCCGGGCACACTCGTCTAAAAAAGGCATGAGGTTGACGGATGGAGGGCGGTTCCATCTCAAAATGTGGCTCTCGCCTTAGCGCCGTTCACATTCGTTGCAAAACTCTGTACAAGGTCAGCTGATTCTCGTGGGTAACGTACCAGGAATGGTGTTTTGGGAACGATTCAGGACTGTCAGGGCGCAACGGTTGCGTTGATTCGTGGTGTTGAAGTCCCAGCACTGGTGTTCTGGCACGATTCAGGATCGTCAAGACGGGCCTGCCCGGTCAGCGGGCAGGCTCACAGACGGTCTGCGCGGCATCCGCCACAAAAAGGGTGCCGTCGTCATCGCATCTTTTGTGTAGACACCGCTTTGCGACCATTTGCAAGTCCCCAGTTCCCTTCAAACGTAGGAGGAGAAGAAGAAGAAGGAGGGGGGAGGATGAAGAGGAGGGGGGGAAGTGGGGAGGAGGCGGAGAAGACGAGGAAGGAGGAGGAGCAGGAGGGGAGTGGGGGGGCAGGAGGGAGGACGCAGAGGAGAAATAGGATCGGCTACACGT